GAGGAGGGCCGGGCGAGGCAACTGCGGCCCTCCCGGGCGTTCCGTGCGTGCTCGTGCGCCCTGGGCCTCCCGGGGGCTCCGGGAGGGGCTCTGGAGCCGTCGAAGAACGGGTCGGGATTCGAGCAGGGGGTCGATTGCAGAATTGATTTGCCCCAAGAGATGGAATCCCCATCGACTCGACGGAAGAGAGAGAGAGAGAGAGACGTAGAATGTTCGCAGATGCACGGGCGAATCAAGTTGGGGTAATTCAATGTTGTAGTCGATCCCCTATCCCCTGTCCGAAGGATGGCCCCGGGAGGGGCCTGGTGACCCATCTTGAGAGGATCTGGACCAGGCAGGAGGGCCGCCGATCGGCTCTCAGACTGCCCCTCCTCCGAAACTAGGCCAGCGGCAGGGTCCTCGACCAGGCACGCGCGCGCGGCGACCTCCAGCGCGTCCTCCAGAAGAAGAAACTTCTGGAGGTCCGCGCGGACTTCTTGAGTCGGTGCTGGGACCCCCTCTCTGGCGCGCGGGGGGGCCAACGCCGATCCCAAAAATGCGCGCGGAACTTCCAAAGTTGATGTCTCTAGCGTTCTCGTTCTACGAGTCCTCCACGGCCGCCACCACGCCGGCCAGCGCGCCCCCCGCCGCCGCCTTGCGCCGCCTGGATATGTCCATACACACTGCTGCGGGGTCTTGCCCTGGGGGCGAGGGGAGCGATAGGTATGGATATCGGCCCGCCCACGCGGGCGGGCAGATACTCATACCCACCCCTCCTCGAGATCCCAGGGCACGACTCCGCAGCGGTGGATATGGAGACATCCTGGCGGTGGAGCCTAGCCCAGGCGGGCGGGGAAGCCTTCTCGGAAGCAGCCAGGCCCTCCTGAGGAGGCCTCTGCCTTCGACAAGGCTCGCCCGCCTTCTCGGAAATCTGCCCCCCTCACGCCACCCCCTTGTGGGCCCCGCCGCCGCCTGGTCCAGCGCCGCTCGGAGCCGCCGCCACCTCCGAGCGGCGGCATCCGAACGCCGCCCCCACCAACCATCGATCCCCCTGAATCGATGGGAGGCGGGAGCGAGGCTCCGATCTCGCCACGCGCTCGACGAATCCCGGGCCCTACCTGCATCGCCCATCGACTTGCGGAATCTTTGATCGGCGAGGGTACGGTTCGGACTTCGCTCGGGGACGCACTTACCCAGGTCGGCACCAACCTGGGTCAGCCAGGGCCCTGTCGCGAGGCCAGGCCAGCCGCTCAGGAGCTCCCACGCCCGGGTCGGCGGAGGGGCAGACAGGGGGAATCGTCCCTGCGTGGCTCCCAAGCCCGGGTCAGCCAAAGGGGATTGGCTGACCCCCATTACGGTCGGACTTAAGACAGAAAAACATCCTTCAGGAACAGGAACCCCTCCGCTGGCCACACACACACACACACAGAACACCCCAAAGGAACCCTCCCCAGGAAGCACAGGAACATCCGGCAAACACGAAGAACACGAGGGTACCCTCCCCGAACCGATCTCGACCCTATGCCTCGGTCCGACCGCAGCGCTGACCCCCGTGAGCGCCGAGCCCCGACTCGCCGCCGCCGCCTCTCCGCCGGCGGGAGCCGCGCGTCGCACGCGAGCGCGCGCGCCAAGCCCACCAGCTCCTCCCGCAGGGCCGCCGGCAGCGCCCCGAGCCGGGGCGCCTATCGGGCGGGTGGTGAGGGGGGTGGGGCGGGGCGCAAGGGGCGGAGGGCCTGCATGGGGGGGCGAAGGAGAGGACCCTGAAGGGTGCTCTGCCTTTGGGTCCCCTCCCCCTCCTTCTCCTTCTTCTTCTTCTTTCTCCTCTTCCCTCCTCCTCCTCCTCCTCCTCCTCCTCCTCCTGCTCCTCCTCCTCGTCCTCCTCCTCGTCCTCCTCCTCCTCCTGCTCCTCCTCTTCCTCCTATTCCTCCTTCATCTGCTCCTTCTCCCGCCCGAGCCTCGGCGGAGGCGGCGCCGCCGCGGCAGAGGCGGCGCAGCTGCCACGCCGTTGCCAGCCAGGCGGCCGCGGTCCCCACCCTCGGCACTCCCAGCGCGGCGCAGGCGCCTGCCACGAGCACCTCTCGGCGGCGGGCGAGGGGAGGGAAGCGAGAAGCACCTCTCGGCGGCGGGCGAGAAGCACCTCTCGGCGGCGGGCGAGAAGGCGAGAAGCACCTCTCGGCGGCGGGCGAGAAGCACCTCTCGGCGACGAGCACCTCTCGGCGGCGGGCGAGAAGGCGAAGGCCTGCTCGGAGGCGGCGGGGCTTCTCAGAGGCCATCTGGCCTTCCGAGACGTTTTCTGCGTCTTCGGGGGAGGCTCGGGAAACTTCCCAGAAGGCCGGGGGACTGCCGAGCCTTCCGACAAGGACCGCCCCTTCTCACCTCCCCCCAGGCTCGCCGCCGACTGGGGGCCCGGCGGCTGCGGCGAAAGCGGCGGCGAGGGACGAACGGCGACCAAGGTCTGGCACCCGAGCCGTGGCCGAAAGCTGGCCGAAAAATATGTGCAACTCCGCTGGAGGACGTACGGAGACGAGCCGCGGCCGTAGGCCTCCTCAGCCTACAGCGGTGGTCGGCACCGCCGCGGTGGAGAGGTGGGCGGCGGCGGCGGCGACGGCAAGAAATTCGACGAGAATCTGGCCGTGGTGACGAGGGCCCTCCAGGACGACCAGCGGCATCGGTATCTGTCCCCCTTCAGAGCAAACGGCGGCGACGGCGACAACCCCCGACATCCGCCGATGTGATTTGTTTTCTCCGCAGCCCCTGAAGTCCCGACCGCTTCCCTGGGGTTATGCTGCTCCCATCGTACTTAAGGACCACATCCCAGAAATAGCTTCGAGCGCCCAGAAAAGTGTCGGAACAGTGTCGAGCGAGCATCGCCTCCCAGGGCCCGACACATGCAAACCCTCCAATGTCGGTACTTTCCTGGTGCTCGAAATTCTTTCCGGTGCTCAAGGCTGAAATAAGTTGGAACACCATAACCCTGGGGGTAATTCTTCGTCCTGGATCCGTTTTTTAATGGTCCTGGGGCCCAATGGCCCCCGAGAAACGAACTTCACACGTTCGCCCTCGCGCCGCCCCTGGAGAAGGACGCGCTCTCTGGCCTCGGCAGCGGGGGCCGGGTGCTCATCCGACATCGAGATGCTCAGCGTCGAGACAGCCTGAAACAACCGAGAGGAGCCTTGGCGAGGCGTCCTTGGCTGGCCCTGCCAGATTGAAAACCGAGGACCTTATTGGATTTTCTGCATCGCTTTGGATGTAGAGCACGCCAGGCCGACGGTTGTGGCCGCGGTCGTAGTGGTGCCCGCGGGCGTTGCATCCATCGTTGTCGCGCTCACGTTCGTGGGTGCGGCACGCGCATGGTTGCTGCAGACGCGGTGGCCAGGATCGCAGCACTGACGCATTCGCAGACCGAGGCTGCGCTCCCAGCGGCTGCAGCGATCCAAGCAACACGGGCGTTCCCCGTAGCGCCCCGCATCGGTGCCAGAGGACAATTTTGAACGCTTGGCTCTTCAATTGATTGATAAGCGTTGGCCGCCCAGACCTTTGCAGAAACAGACATGATGATGATGATGATGATGATGATGATGATGATGATGATGATGATGATGATGATGATGATGATGATTATGATGGTGACGATGGTGACGATGATGATGATGATGTTGATGATGATGATGATGATGATGGTGATGATGCTGATGGTCATGATGGTGATGCTGATGATGACGATGATGATGCTGATGATGGTGATGCTGATGCTGATGACGATGACGATGACGATGACGATGATGATAATGATGATGATGACGATGATGATGATGATGCTGATGCTGATGCTGATGCTGATGCTGATGATGGTGATGGTGATGGTGATGGTGATGGTGATGGTGATGGTGATTGAACCATTGTGTGGTGATGGTGATGGTGCTGGTGAGGTGATGGTGATGGTGATGGTGATGATGATGATGATGATGATGATGATGATGATGATGATGATGATGATGATGATGATGATGATGATGATGATGATGATGAGCTAGCCGATGATATTCGACGTCATCGTGACGCTGCCTGACGCTGCCGGACGCTATCAGTAGAGCTTTCGGGTGGAATCCAAGTTAATTCCAGAATAGTGCGGATAACATCTTTTCTCGACTGTTAATGTTTCGACAACTTTCAATGACGTCCCACAGCGTCCGATACCGTTCCGTCTGCTCCGCTCTCCGCGGGGGTACGTTTGCCTAGGGTCGATCTGGCCCAGGAGTTTGACTCAGCGATGCTCGTTCTGGCATACTGGGGCAACGACAGTCTTGAAAACGACTGAAATATTGTCAACACTGTGGAGACGCGAGGCCTCGCGGGAACGCCATCGAGCGACATCGGCACGCTAAAGGCCGGAAAAGACCGGAACTGAGTTGTTATTTTGTGGCAAGGAAAATGAGAAGCCACAGAGCGAGCTTCACAGCCACGCCGTAAGGGTCTGGACGGCATGCGCTTGCCAGAACTGAATTACATTTTAGCAGCCCGTGGGAAGCACTCTAACAAACGCCTCTGGCTCCAGGCGCCCCAGCAACCGTCGACGCCCGGAGGACTCGACCCCTCCCGCAGGGCCAACTCTTCGTCCTGGGCCGTTCTTGTACCGGTTTCGGACGCCGAGAACCGCCAAAAGACCGTCCGCCGTGATTCTGCTCGCAGCGAGAAGGCCCTGACTCTGGCTCCGCTGTACTTTGGCTGATTCTCCCGGTTAAGAATACATCGAACATGCACCCCAAACGTGTGAAGCAAATCGGGCGGATACTTCCTCCAAAATGTGGCGGACACAGCGACGGCAAAGCGAGCGGAAATCGCATAAAAAAACGGTCTGAAAGATAAGGCGGAAATGTCGGCCCCAATCGCCCAGAGCACGGCGGATCCCGAGCTGGGGGTCGCCCAAGGAGGGGGGGGCGCCCAAGAGGGGGGGGTGCGCATCGTGGCCCGAGGCATGTGCGCAGACGGAGGGCGGACCTGGGAATGCGTTGGAATGAGCAGAGGGGGTGCCAAGAAATCCTAGAAGGTACAAGGCAGTTTTTGATACATAGGATGTTTAAAACAAATATATAGGATTGATAATACATGATTAATGTGTGCATGGATTTATGCATAAATTTAATGTTGTTTTTAATTTTAAATCCCTGCATTTCTAATACATGATCCGCACGCGGAGCATGTATTAAAAACGGCACTGTACCATAGTCCTGGCCATGATATCCCCCCCCTTGGTCACCACCCCCGTCTTGCGCGCCCCCGACGAGTTAGGGACTGGGGGGGCCTCCGGCTCCAGGCGCGCCAGCAGCCTGTCCTCCGTCTCCCGCACGTCGCGGTCGCAGGGCGCGGCGGGCACCCCGAGTCGGGCTGCGGCGAGCGCGGCGGCCAGCTGCTCGGCGCCGTGGGACAGCCGCTCCTTCTGTGGCAACGCATGGGAGCCTTCCGTGCCATCTTGCTGGCTCTCGCAAGTCGGCGCTGACCGGCGCCCATCGACGCCAATCGGCGCTGAACCCGCGTTGATCGACGCCGAATCGGTGCTGTCCCATCGACTACCAGGCGCTAGCGCTCGCTCAGGCACTCTGACTGGCCAAGAAGAAACACACTCCCAATCTCAAAATCGCGAATTCACCGAGGACTCGAAAATCGGCCAAAGATTTCATGGTGTGGCATGCGTTCGTCGCTGCCCCCCTGGGAAAAACCTACCCCGACAGCTCCCTCCCCGAAGTCTCGAGGAGCCTGCGCTCTGGTCTGGCCCTCGCGTTTCTTCGGGATGGGGCGCCTGTGTTTTGAGCTGGCGACTGCAAACGGAACTCCGGGGGCACACGAGCCTCCCGTGGCCTGCTACACGGGAAGCTCCTGCAGCGAGTGCTGCTCCGCGGGCGGCAGGGCCGCGCAGGCCGCCAGGCCCCGCGGGAGCAGCCGCCGGAGCCGGCGGTCGCAGAGCTCGAGGCCCACGCGGTCGGGCCGCAGCGCCGCCACCGCCACGGGCACCTGTGGCTGCCCACCAGCAGTCGGCGGCGCGCACAAGGGGGCAGGGGGAGGGGGAGGGCTTCTCAGAAGGAGGCTGCTCCTTAGAAGGCGCCGGCCTTACATCTACAGACAAGGCCCGCGCCATCCAAGAAGCAGGGGCGCTTCTAGGAAGCCTCCCCCCCTGCCCAAACCCCCCTCTGCGCGTGGCCGAACAGCGCTTCATGTTTACATGCGTTCTGCTTTGTTCCAAAACGAAGTATGAGCGAAGATGCTGGCCGGCGTCGCGCAGGTCGGTCTGAAACACTCGGGACGGGCAAGCGACTGGCGTTCAAACTTCGCGCAAAGCGTGTTCCCGAACGCCCGAACGCGCTCAGAACGTAAAGAAGGAAGAAAACGAAAACAACACAAAATTAGCCTGACGAAGGACCCAGCCATAAGCAGTTCTGGATACCGTCGTTATGTGTACCGCATTCGGTGGAGCTCTCTATGGGGCCATGAAGCGTGAGAAGAGTGTGCCAAAATGAGCGCGGTGGGCGCATGCGAGCGCTGACATTTGGGCCTTCGGTGGGGCTTTCTGTGGGGCCACGAAACGTGTGAGGGTTGTGCCAAAATGGGCGCCGTGGGCGCATGCGAGCGCTGGCATTTGGGCCTTCGGTGGAGCCTCTCAGCTTGGGGCCACGAAACGTGTGAGGGATGTTCCAAAATGGGCGCGGTGGGCGCATGCGAGTGCTGGTACCTGGGCCTTCGGTGAAGCTCCCCATGGGACCACGAAACGTGTGCGAGGGGGGTGCCTACATGGGTGCTGTGGGCGCCTGCGAGCGCTGGCATTTGGGCTTTCGGCGGAACTCCCTATGGGGCCACGAAACGTGTGAGGGGTTTGCCAAAATGGGTGCGGTGGGCGCACGCGAGCGCTGTCACCTGGGCCTTCGGTGAAGTTCCCCATGGGGCCTCGAATCATGTGATGTGTGTGCCATGATTGGATAACATGGGCGCGGTGGGTGTATGCGAGCGCTGGCATTTGGGCCTTCGGTGGAGCTCCCTATGGGGCCATGAAGCGTGAGAAGAGTGTGCCAAAACGAGTGCGGTGGGCGCATTCGAGCGCTGGCATTTGGGCCTTCGGTGGGGCTCTCTGTGGGGCCACAAAACGTGTGACAGGTGTGCCAAAATGGGCGCCGTGGGCGCATGCCAGCGCTGGCATTTGGGCCTTCGGTGGAGCCCCAATATGGGGCCACGAAACGTGTGAGGGGTGTGCCAAAATGGGCGCGGTGGGCGCATGCGAGCGCTGGCACCTGGGCCTTCGGTGGAGCCTCAGTTTGGGACCACGAAACGTGTGAGGGATGTTCCAAAATGGGTGCGGCAGCCGCATGCGAGCGCTGTCACCTGGGCCTTCGGTGGAGCTCCCTATGGGGCCACGAAACGTGTGAGATGTGTGCCACAATGGGTGTGGTGAGCGCATGTAGGAGAGGTACGTGTGAAAAGGTGTGCCGTGCCGCAGTGGGTGCGCTGGGCACATGCGAGCGCTGGAATTTGGGCCTTCGGTGGAGCTCCCTATGGGGCCACGAAACGTTTGAGAGGTGTGCCGAAATGGTTGGCTGGTGTGGAGGGCGGAGGCACGGATAGGATGAGGAAGGAGCAGGAGGAGGAGAGGAGAGGAGAGGAGAGGAGAGGAGAGGAGAGGAGAGGAGAGGAGAGGAGAGGAGAGGAGAGGAGAGGAGAGGAGAGGAGAGGAGAAGCGAGAGCAGAGGAGAGGAGAGTGAGAGGAGAGGCGGGCGAGAGCGAGGCGAGGCGAGGCGAGGCGAGGCGAGGCGAGGCGAGGCGAGGCGAGGCGAGGCGAGGCGAGGAGAGGAGAGGAGAGGAGAGGAGAGGAGAGGAGGAGGAGGAGGAGGAGGAGGAGGAGGAGGAGACGCGGGGCGCTCTCTCTTCCAAACGAGGACCCAACACCACAGGATGATTGGGACAACAACAAAACAGTGTTTGGATGCAGCCCTGCCCACCAAGCCACCCCAGCCTGACCCAAAGTCTCCGCTGGGCCTGCCACCTTCCAGTGGGGGGACGTTCGGGAACATCGAGACAGCGCAGCTCGGTGGGAAGACCTTCGCGAGCATCGAGGAATCGCCGAGTTGGAACCCGTGCACCCACCCTCCAACACGAAATCCGGAGTGGCGTGGGACTTTCGGGGGTTGGGCTGGGGTGGCCCAGCAAGTCGCGAACCTGGCGCGCGCACTCCCCGCAGTCGTGCCGCACGCCCAGCAGCACCAGCGCGGGGCCCTCTTGCGCCGCCCGCGGCACCGCGCGCACGCGCAGCGCGGGGAGCCGCCGACCGAGCTCGGCCAGCCACGCCTCTGGCGGCAGGCCCCCGCCCTCGGGGCCCCCCGGGGCCGCCGCGGGCCCCGCGGGCAGCGGCGCCCCTGCGCAGCAGCGCGCCACGGCAGGCCGCACGGGCCGCGCGGCGGCCCTTGCCGCGGCCATGGCGGCTGTCAGCGCCGCGGCCAGCGCGGCCCCGGAGGCAAGAGGTGGCCACGGAGAGAAGGCGCGAGGAGGAGCTCGAGGAGAGAGGTCCCCCCAAGGGGGGCCCTCCAAGTGGACGGGTCGTCAGGGGCTTGACCACTTCTGCCGTCCCTCGACTGGCGCAGGAGCGGCCACGGTTTGCTCCACATTTCTCTGGGGATCTCTGGATTTACCTGTCGACTTATCTACATTTGCCTGGATGTATCCAGCTTGAACATCACAAGTCGACTGAAGAAAAGCCATCAAGCCCTTGAGGAATGGGGTCAGAAGATAGCGCCGCATCGCCGATGAAACGGCGATGCAACGTCGACTTCGGCGATGCATCGGCGATGTCGACGTAAGGAAAAACGAGCTCCACATCGAGCCGTATAGGTGACGCATGGGCAATGCGGCGCGATCCTCCGACACCATCTGCTCGGACCCCATCTGGGAGGCCTAGAGAGGAGGAGGGGGGAAATCCATCTTGTCGCCCCTGTGGTGGGATTCTGCGTACATCGGATGCTCTAGGGAAGAGGATGTTGCTGGAGGACGGAGGAGACGAGGGACGGATCGGCCGGAAGGGTCAGCGGGCGAACCCCGGATTTCTTCAAGGCGAAACCGGGAGGCGAAACCCAATATCGACCCAGGCGAAACCGGGAACCGCCAGGCTAAACCCGGAATTGCTGGGAGGCGAAACACAGAACCCCAGGAAACACCAAACCAAGAACTTCCCACCCCCAGAACCGGAATTCCAAGCCTGTGTCCTCCTCCTCCTCCTCCTCCTCCTCCTCCTCATCCTCCCTCCTCCTCCTCCTCCTCCTCCTCCTCCTCTCCTCCTCCTCCTCCTCCTACCCATCCTCCATCTCTCCACCTCCGCCTCCGCCTCCTCCTCGTTCCCTCCTCCTCCTCCTCCTCCTCCTCCTCCTCCTCCTCCTCCTCTCCTCCTCCTCTCCGTAGCCATTTTGGCTCAAGGTTTTGGTTTCCCCTGGGAACAAAGTGGATACCGCTAGTCCGCGGCCAGCTTTCGTCTTTCGCCTGGTTCGCCCCAGGCAGAGCGCCGTGCGGTCCGCCCCGCACGGCCCAGCCCCACCACGGCCCGCTTGTCCTGCCTCGCGTGGTTCCTCGTCGTGTGCGCACCCGACCTGACCATCCGCCCGTCGGTATGGCGCCCAGGTCACGCAGCACGGAGGCTGGCCCATGGTATTGCAAATGGTGCAAGCATGAGCCTACGGGTACGAGCTGGATCAACCGTGGTGATCAGAAGTGGTGTGGCAAGTGTGGCATTCCGAAAGGCTCCGCCTTCTACGGGGTGCCCCCGCCCAAGGTCCCAGTGCAGCGCTCTCATGAATTGGCCACGAAGCGTGAGAAGCTCCTCGCCAAGCAGTTGGAAGAGATGCAGCTGCGCATGCAGAAGCTGGTTGGCAGTCACAATGGTACGGAGTTGGAGTCCAAGGAGCCCGCCATTCCTCCCTGGGCTAAAGGCACTGGAGTGGCGGTCAAGCGTGAGCGCCTCGCCAAGCTTGGCAGCCTGCTCAAGCTTCTTTCGGGGCCTGAGGATGCCGAGCAGCGTGCGGTGTATGAAGCCGAGAAGCAGCGCTTGCAGGCCGAGCTACAGGCCGACAAACCTATCGAGGCCAATCTGCAGGGGCTCACCAGTCAGCTCAAGACCGCTCGCACGAAGCTGTCCAGCATCGCTGTCAAAAAAGAGGCTGCTCGTGCGACGCTGGAGAAGGCCAAGCTGGCCCTGGCGCAGGTCGAGCAGGACGAACAAGTTGCTAACAAACATATCGTGGAGCTTGAGGAGAGGTTGCGCCACGTGGTTGGTCCCGCGGTGCAGTTCGATGACAAGTCACCATCTCTGTCCACATTCTTGCCAGGCATGGAGGCCACGGTCGAGCAGTTCGACGCCGTGGTCCGTGCGCTGGGCGGCTCGGAGCGGTTCAGTACAGACCTCATCGCCATGCGCGCACTGGTGCAGAAGCTCAAGGAAGCCCCAGAGGTTGCAGCCGCACCTGAGCCGCCTCAGCACGAGACTCAGTCCACTCCTCCTGAGGCTCGAGAATCCATGGATATCGACGAAGACGAAGATCAGGATCGGGCTAATGCTCACGTTGATGGCCTGGACGGTCGCACATGCCGTGAACATCTCAAAGAATGTGGTATCGACGTCGACGTGGGCGGGGATGATGACGAGATTGATGACACTAAGGAGCGTGAGCTTCGTGACAAGCTCAAGCGTCATTTGGCCCAAGTTCACTCGCTTACCAAGAAGTTCAAGACCAGTGGTGCGACCGCTGCGTAATGTGATCGGGCGGCTTGCTGTGGTGTTGTTATGTTTATGCTCTCCTTTTGTTGCAATGACGACGCCTACTGCCCAAGAAGAGCTGACCTCAGCTCCCAGGCGTTCTCTTATGGACGATCCTGACGTTGACCCCTTTCAATTTGATCAAGCAGCTGACAGTCAGCCTGATCTGCCTGAGTCATGTGCTCAGTTTGCCCCTACTGCGTCTTCTGCAAGGGCAGCTACTGCGACTACGGGTGCTACGCCATCGTCTCGGTCGCTACACTCACCTGTCACTAGGGGGCAGGCAGAGAGCGCCACATGTGCACCGATTGCGTTGACGAGCTCGGCCCCTCGCTCGACGAGAGTTGATGGCTCTACTGGGCGACCCGATGGCATGCATCCTTTAGACCCTGGCAGCACGCACTGCTCACCACGCTCGCCCGATGGGCATCGCGTGGCAGAGGGTACCGACTGTCCAGGGGTTCGTCGACCTGATGTCAAGGTTGCTGGCCAGGTGAAGGGCAAAAGCGACTCACAAATCGTGACGTTCAACTCGAGTTCGCTGGGTCCACTGTGCGAATTCCTGGTGGACAGCACCGCTCACGTGGTGCTGGCGCAAGAGCACCATGTGCCTGATACCAAGCTTGGTGAGCGCCAGTCGCAAGTTGAAGACACTGGCTGGAGAGGGCTCTGGGGCCCTGCTGTGCCCAACCAGGATGGAGGGCCTGGCACTACAGGCGGAGTTGCAGTATTGGTCAGATCACACATTCCCATCAAGGCGCCTCCTGGCCGTGCTAGTCATGTACTTGTTCCTGGCAGGCTGGTGGCTGCGCACGTCATGTCATTTCTGCCTGGAGGAGTTGTCTTCCTGTCGGCCTATCTCAAGGACGGCGAAGGGTACGGACCGTGCAACGCCGAGCTGGTGTGGGAGATCATCGAGTACCTGTCAGTGCTCAATGGCATGCAGATCCCGTGGATCATCGGCGCCGATTTCAACATGCCGCTCACCGCCCTGGACCAGTCCGACTGGATTGCGGCGGCTGGAGGACTGGCTTTCGTTTCTGAGGCGCCCACTTGCAGGCAGGTTTCACCAGGCACGCACCTTGATTATTTCATTTGCAGCAGCTGGCTGGCGCCCAAGCTCGACCCCCGCACGTGCGTGTTGGAGGCTGCCACCACCTACCCTCACCTCCCCGTCCAGCTTACGCTGAGGGCTCGGGAGACGCCTGTTTGGGCTCGGGTGGCCAAGGTCCCGAAAGCTTTCCCGTCGACCCCTCCCATTGGCTGTGCTAGACCTCCTATATACCCGTGGCACGCGGTTCTGACGACCGCTGCCCCGCAGGTGGATTCTGTAGCCAAAGTTGCTGATTTTTGGGATCTTGTCCTCGAAGGGGTGGAAAGAGAGCTGGCCGCCAGGTGGGACCGTGTTGGCGTTGCCGCCGAGGCCTACGTGGGCCGCAGTGGGCCTCTTGAGGTCCACTTCAAAAAGCTTGTCTGGACTCCCCCCAGAAGAAGGACTTATAAGGATCCACAGGCACGAGCCTGGGCCGTCGCTCTTGGGTGGGCCAAACACCTTGGCAAGGCCAGAGAACATCTCAGTGAGCAAATTAGGCTGTTGCAAGTAAACGATGCTCCGTGTGCTGCTGCGCCTCGCCAATGTCGCAAGCTTATTTCGGCTTTTGAGGAGTTCAATCGTTTCATGGCCAACATTGCCCGCTGTAAAAAAGTTCTTGGTTGCCTTGACTCTGATGTGCGTGATTTCTTCAATGGCGGCTTCGCCGTCCTTGCACGTCCCGATGTTGCCAGAATGCTTACTACTATCTACATTCGGGCGAAGTCTGCAATCGCTCGTGCGGAGAACGCGGCGTCCCAGGCTTGGAGGCAATGGGCTAGGGACGCTTTCTCTGCTGGCGCCTCGAAGGCTCACAGGTTCTCAAAGGTGAAGGCCATCCAAGAGGTTTTAAGCAACCAGGCGCGTGAGGCTCCCCACCAGCAGGCCGATGCGGAACTCGTTCCCTGGAAGGAGGTTTGGTTGTCCCACGGTTGTTCCGTTCTCGAGGTTCCGCGTGGGTCCACCAGCTGGCCCAGTCTGCCGCGCATCACGGCCGCTCAGGTGGAGGATGCTGTTCACACTTACCCCACTCGCACTGCTGGAGGCATGATGGGGATTCATCCGAGAGCTTTAATACACCTACCTAGACAGGCTTTCTCGGCGATTGCAGAACTCTTTAACCTTTGCGAGCTGCACCTGGCCTGGCCTAGAGAGCGTGTCTGTAATGAGATGTGTCGTCTTGCCAAACCAGATGGTGGGACTCGACTGATCGCGCTCGTCTCTTTGCTTTGCCGTGTCTGGGGCAAAGTTCGCAAGCCCATCACCTTCGACTGGCAAGAGCGCAATGACTGCCACGCTGTTTGGGGGACTCGTCGGGGCCATAGCTCCTCAGACAGTGCTTTTGCTCATAACATTGCTGCCGAGATGGCGGCGCTAGTCGGTGATATTTCCATTTCTGTCCTCTTAGATATGATCAAATGCTTCGAGATGGTACACTCGGAGCAGCTGCTGAAAGAAGCTGAAGCTTTGCACTTTCCTATGCGGCTAGCTTGGATGTTGGTGGATCTGTACAGGCAGCCACGACGTCTTCGAGCTTTCGGCAGTCTGTCTGTGCAGTTCTGCTCGCATCAAGGCATCCTTGCTGGGTGCAATCATGCGACAGGCATGCTTTTCCTCCTCACGCTGCGCGCTGTGCGTAGGCTCAATGACATTTCGCCCTGTATAACACCGAGAGCCCTAGTCGACGACATCTCGATTCAGCTCGTCACTTCGGATCCTCGGGACGTCCGTTTCCTGGAGCGCGCGGTGAAAGTGTTCACTGAAGATGCCAAGGTCCTGGGGCTCCACTCCCATGTCAAGAAGTCGGGGCTCATTGCTGGGAACAAAGTGGCTCGGAAGGTGTTTTCGAGGATGGCTATTCGGCTGCATCTACCTGTTCGTAAATGGATGAGAAATCTCGGGCATGAATTAGCTGCTGGTCGGGTTGTTCGCACGCAGGAGAAGAAAAGGTTACAGGCTCTCAAACGTCGTCGTGACAAGTTCGTTGCGCTGAAACATGCAACTGGCAAGCGTGCAACCCGACTGTGGAGGACTGGAGCTCTCCCAGCAGCTGGACACGGGGGCTCCGTGTCGGGCATCTCAGACACTGCGCTGAAGTATTTGAGGCAGCTTGCGGCTACGATCGCAGGGGCCAAGCAGCACGGTGGCATTACCTCGTATCTGCTGACGCAGGCCGATCCGCAATACGACCCGATCTACGACTCCACTACTTGTGTGTGTGTTAAGTTCGCCACGTTCGTCTGGGACGGAAGGATTCAGTTATCGAGACTTCAACGTGCTTGGACCCGTCTGAGAGACATCATGTCCGACAACCCTACTTGGCAGCAGGCTCGAGGTCCGCTGTCGGCGGTGTGGCTCAGCCTGCTTCGCATCGGCTGGACGATGGTCAATGCCCACACCTTTCGCAGCGATCTTGGTACAGATATTTCGCTGCTGGCGGTGTGTCCTAGTGACGTGCGTATTGCGATTATTGAAGGTGTGCAGCGGTGGCGGATACGTCGGTTGCAGCAGCATCTCTATAACACTGACCCTCCAGAAGGGGAGCCTTGGTTTCGAGCGCTACGTAATGGCATACGTGCTGTAAAAGACCAGCGGGCTCTTGGGGCCCTGGCGGCCGTCTGGGGGAATGTGGTTCCGCTACCTGCTGCACTTTCTGCTCTACAATATGACGCACCACCCGTGTGCCTTGCCTGCTCCGCTCCTCAAGGTACGTACGGACATGTGTGGTATGCCTGCTCTAAGTTCATCACCGACGACGGGATTGACGCTTTGGGTGACGAGGTTCCTGAGGCCCTAGCTAAGCATAGGCGCGTTCTGATTGAGTCTCGGGCCTCTATCACTGGGGAGCCCGATGTGCACTCTAATTATTTAACTTATGGCATCCCTCCTCTGCCCACTAATATTCCCGCTCCGCTTGCCAACCCGCCTGTTTTTGAGTTTGGGGACGTCTCTGGGCCCTGGGGCCCACAGTCTTTCACTGACGGTAGTTGCTTTCACTCGGGGGTCCCAGAGGTCTCCAGAGCTGGTTGGAGCGTGGTACAGTTATTTGATTGCCTGCTTCCTTTGAGGGCAGTATATGGAGCGCTTCCAGGTGAGCGTCAGACCATAGGTCGCGCTGAACGGTGGGCAGTGCGGCAGGGTCTGGCTTATCACCCACAGCATCAGAGTATTGTGTCGGACCTCCAGGCAGTAGTGCGTGAAGGCAACTCTTGGAGCCTGCATCTTTCCCAAGGCATGTCCAAGCATGCATCGATCTGGAGGTCCATTTTTGACTTGAAGTCTAGTCACCCCCAGTTCTCGTGGTTCCCTGCCCATCTGAGTTTTGACGACGTTTTGGAGCGTGGGCTGTGTATCAAAAGTTGGGCTGGGAACCTGTGGGCTGATTTTTTCGCCAAACTAGGGGCTAGCTCTCACACGCTAGCTGAAGGTTTCTGTGCGGCGGTTTCAGGTGAATTAAAATATCACAAGTCCACGGTGCGGTTCATTGCGTGGGCTGCTCAGCGTTTGCTCGAGTCAGGCACATGGACACATGTTGACCCTGATCGTCCCCTCCGCCTCTTGAGAGCCCCTGCCCCTCCTAAGGTCACGGTCACCAGCCATGTGTTATTTCGCTGCGAGGCCACCAGCACTTACAAGTGCAGGAGCTGTGGCCGCGTGGCTCGCACTCTTGAGTCGCTTAAGAGCCTGCTCACGAGCAGGGACTATCGTGATTGTTCTCCGTCTTCGATCCAGCGACACGTGTGCGACCAGTGGTTTCGCGAGTTTGGGGCGGCTTTTAGGCCCGTGCAGCTTGAAGCAGTGAGGGTTGCTCTGGCTGCCGCTGACGAAGCTCAGCGTGTGTGCAACGATGAAGTCCAAGGTCCCCCGACTCCTGTGGCTGCGCCTGAGCCGTCGGATGAGTTTTCTGTGTTTCGGGACCTTGGGCACGACGTTTTCCGTCATCTGCATGTTTACTGTTGTAAGTTGTGCGGGGCTCACGGATCTCTTGGCTCGCTGCGAAACCTCACGCAGCAATGTAAAGGGAGGTCCAAGGTCCCGAGCACTGCCGCCAACCAGAGAATGTCGATTAGACGGCTGGAGCGCGGTTGTCACCCTAGAACGGGCGTGAAGATAGCTGGGGCCACCGAGCGCGGCGATGACCGCGCGGAGCCCCGCAGTGCTGATGATTCGAGGCCGCTGGAAGCGGCCAGTGTTCCCGAACCCGCTCCCGATGGAGCGAGCTCAGGGTCTGATTAAACTCGTTTTGTTTTTCTTGGGCCGCCCTTGTAGTCTGTCGCCCGTCGTCTCCCCCTCCCCCGCCGCATACGTGTACCTCTTCCTGGTGCTCTCGGCGCTGGGGAGGATGGCGTGCGACGTGGCCAGGCAGGCGGGGCGGCCCGCCCGCTCGGCCCACGCCCTGGCGTGTGCTGAGTGCTGATTGTACCGGACCACCAGCTCGAGGCTTGCCTCTTGCTGGTGGCGTGCGGTCCGCGCGCGCCTCCTCCTCCTCCTCCTCCTCCTCCTCCTCCTCCTCCTCCTCCTCCTCCTCCTCCTCCTCCTCCTCCTCCTGTTAATATTATTACTATTAGTACTACTTCGAGTATTGTTATCACGATTCGTATTAGTATTGGTAGACGTCGCATTATTATTCTGATCCGTATTATTGTTACCGTGTGCATCCGTATTGTTACTACTATGCTGATGTCAGTGTTGGTATGATGATGCTTATTCCTAACAATTACTCCGACGGTAGGACCCCACATGATAATATGTTTAGCTTACCCTTTGCCCTTTCCTCCTCCCCCTGGCGGACACCCTCTCCTCTCGCCCCACCCCATCTTCTCTTCCCTCTTCTCTTCTCCTCCTCCTCCTCCTCCTCCTCCTCCTCCTCCTCCTCCTCCTCCTCCTCCTCCTCCTCCTCCTCCTCCCCCCCTCCTCCTCCTCCTCCTCCTCCTCCCTCCTCCTCCTCCTCCTCCTCCTCCTCCTCCTCCTCCTCCTCCTGCCTCCTCCTCCTCCTTCCTCCTCCTCCTCCTCCTCCTCCTCGCGCCACCTCCTCCTCGTCGTCGGCCTCCCCCATGCCCCTTCCCTCCTCATCCCCCTGCCTTTTTCTCCATGTGCACCTCCCCTTCCCCCTCGTCGGGGCAAGCAAATCCATTTTCCTCAGCGCCGTCGCCGCCTCGGCCAGCGCCTCGGGAAGCGGGCCCCATAGGGAGGGGGCTCCCGCCTGAGACTTCCTCGCAATTCACTCACAGACGAGGTTCCCGCTCGAGACTTCCTCCATATTCAGGTCTCAAGAGCCCAAAATTGACGACAGTTGCACGTTGCGGATGACCCGCTCGGATTCGAACATGAAATGCGGGCCCCATAGGGAGGGGGATCCCGCCTGAGACTTCCTCGCAATTCACTCACAGACGAGGCTCCCGCTCGAGACTTCCTCCATATTCAGGCCTCAACAGCCCAAAAGTGGCGACAGTTACACGTTGCGGATGACCCGCTCGGATTCGAACATGAAGCGGGCCCCATAGGGAGGGGGCTCCCGCCTGAGACTTCCTCGCAATTCACTCACAGACGAGGCTCCCGCTCGAGACTTCCTCCATACTCAGGCCTCAAAAGCCCAAAAGTGACGACGGTTACACGTTTCGGATGACCCGCTCGGATTCGAACATGAAGCGCGGGCCCCATAGGGAGGGCTCCCGCCTGAGACTTCCCCGCAATTCACTCACAAACGAGGCTCCCGCTCGAGACTTCCTCCGCATTCAGGCCTCAAGAGCCCAAAAGTTACGACAATTACACGTTTCGGATGACCCGCTCGGATTACCAACATGAAATGCGGGCCCCATAGGAAGGGGGTTCCCGCCTGAGACTTCCTCGCAATTCACTCACAGACGAGGCTCCCGCTCGAGACTTCCTCCATATTCAGGCCTCAAGAGCCCAAAAATGACGACAGCTACACGTTTCGGATGACCCGCTCGGATTACCAACATGAAACGCGGGCCCCATAGGGAGGGGGCTCCCGCCTGAGACTTCCTCGCAATTCACTCACAGACGAGGCTCCCGCCTGATACTTCCTCAGTAATCAAACCTCACGAGCGCAAAAGTGACGACAGCTACAAATTCCAGGATGACCCGCTCGGATTACCAACATGAAGTGCGGGCCCCATGGGGAGGGGGCTCCCGCCTGAGACTTCCTTCCTCACAATTCACTCACAGACGAGGCCCCCGCCTCCATATTCAGGCCTCAAGTCACCGAGTAGTGATGATGATGATGATGATGATGATGATGATGATGATGATGATGATCGTTCGGTGCCGATGATGGTGAGTGATCGTGCGATGAAGATGGTGATGCTGACCTCCTCCTCTCGCGCCACCTCCTCCTCGTCGTCGGCCTCCCCCATGCCCCTTCCCTCCTCATCCCCCTGCCTTTTTCTCCATGTGCACCTCCCCTTCCCCCTCGTCGGGGCAAGCAAACCCATTTTCCTCAGCGCCGTCGCCGCCTCGGCCAGCGCCCCGGAAAGCGGGCCCCATGGGGAGGGGGCTCCCGCCTGAGACTTCCTTGCAATTCACTCACAGACGAGGCTCCCGCTCGAGACTTCCCCCATATTCAGGCCCCAAGAGCCCAAAAGTGACGACAGTTACACGTTTCGGATGACCCGCTCGGATTCGAACATGGAGTGCGGGCCCCATAGGGAGGGGGATCCCGCCTGAGACTTCCTCGCAATTCACTCACAGACGAGGCTCCCGCTCGAGACTTCCTCCATATTCAGGCCCCAAGAGCCCAAAAGTGATGACAGTTACACGTTTCGGATGACCCGCTCGGATTCGAACATGAAGCGCGGGCCCCATAGGGAGGGGGCTCCCGCCTGCGACTTCCTCGCAATTCACTCACATACGAGGCTCCCGCTCGAGACTTCCTCCATATTCAGGCCTCAAGAGCCCAAAAGTGATGACAGATACACGTTTCGGATGACCCGCTCGGATTACCAACAGGAAGCGCGGGCCCCATAGGGAGGGGGCTCCCGCCTGAGACTTCCTCGCAATTCACTCACAGACGAGGCTCCCGCTCGAGACTTCCTCCATATTCAGGCCTCAAGAGCCCAAAAGTGACGACAGTTACACGTTGCGGATGACCCGCTCGGATTACCAACATGAAGCGCGGGCCCCATAGGGAGGGGGCTCCCGCCTGAGACTTCCTCGCAATTCACTCACAGACGGGGCTCCCGCTCGAGACTTCCTCCATATTCAGGCCTCAAGAGCCCAAAAGTGACGACAGTTGCACGTTGCGGATGACCCGCTCGGATTACCAACATGAAGTGCGGGCCCCATAGGGAGGGGGCTCCCGCCTGAGACTTCCTCGCAATTCACTCACAGACGAGGCTCCCGCCTGATACTTCCTCAGTAATCAAACCTCAGGAGCGCAAAAGTGACGACAGTTACAGGTTTCAGGATGACCCGCTCGGATTACCAACATGAAATGCGGGCCCCATAGGAAGGGGGCTCCCGCCTGAGACTTCCTCACAATTCACTCACAGACGAGGCTCCCGCCTGATACTTCCTCCATATTCAGGCCTCAAGTCAGCGAGTAGTGATGATGATGATGATGATGATGATGATGATGATGATGATGATGATGATGATGATGATCGTTCGGTGTCGATGATGGTGAGTGATCGTGCGATGGTGATGGTGATGCTGATGGTGATGATGATGATGAGTGGGGAATGATGGTGATGGTGATGATGATGCGGAGGAGGAACGGAGGAGAAAGCAAAGAGGAGCAGAGGAGAGGGAGGAGGAGGAGGAGATCCTGCGCGGAGGGTGCGCAGAGAAAACAAGCACCCCACTTAGGATGTGGGGAATAGCAATATAATTATGCGTAGTGTTAGTAATGGTAGTATTGGTAATATGGTTGCTAATATTGTCAATACTACTAATATTAGTGATTTAAGTATTCGCAATCGCATTTTCACTAGTATACGTATTATGCGCACTCCTGCTAAATATGTGTACTATTATTTACTAGAATTACCATTCGTAGCAGTAGTCGTAGTAGTAGTAGTGCTAGTAAGGCTAATAGTAATGCCATTGTTAGTACACGCACTACCACAACTTTTAGAAGTATTATACCTACGATTCGTAGTGGTATCATAAGTGTCAGTCGTATTGCGAATAGTGTTTATGTCGTTAGTAATGCTAGTATTACGCTCACTACGACTATTAGCACTACATGTAATAGTATTACTAATATTACCAGCAGTACCAGTACTAGTCTTATAAGTAGGACTAGTCTTGCTAGTAACAGTAGTAGAAATAGTCGTACTACTACTACTACTACTACTACTACTACTACTACTACTACGACTACTACTACTCCTACTACTACTCCTACTACTACTACTACTACTACTACTACCACCACTACTACTACTACTACTACTACTACTACTACTACTACTACTACGACTACTACTACTACTACTACTACTACTACTACTACTACTACGACTATTTCTACTATTACCACTACTACCATTAATCGAAGTATTATCATTATTAGTAGTTGTGTTCCTCCTCATCATCGTCATCCTGCTCCTCCTGGCGGGGCGGGCGCGGGGCGCCTCGGAGGGGCGGCCCCCCCGCGCTCCTTGCGGATGTTGAGGTAGATGTTCTGGATGACCCGGAACTTCTTCTGCGACGCCTCCCCCCGGGGGCGGGCCACGCGACCACCTCGTCGTGGTCGTCCTCAGGGCTCGAGCTAACCAGCGTTTTTGGTTATCGTTTTGTTTCGGCGTTCCTCCATTCTGTCTTCGCTCCGCCTTCTGCTGCAAAACGAACTCGAAACGAAAACGGTCCACGAAATCACCGAAACACCATTTAGCTCGAGCTCCCTGGCGACCACCTAGTGGTCGTCCTCGTCGTCGTCGTGGTCGTCGCCGCCGTGGTCATCCTTTTAGTCGCCATGGCCTCTCGCGCTCCCAGTTCTCGGCGGCGAGCGAGGGGAGGGACGTGAGAAGGAGAGGGCATTCTCGGAAGGCGGCGGGGCTTCTCGGAAGCCCCCGCGCCTTGGAAACTTCTCGGAAGGTTGGGGGGGCTTCCGAGCCTTCTGAGAAGGCCCGCCCCTTCTCACTTCGCCCCTGGGCTCGCCACCGAGTGGTCGTCCTCGTCGTCGTCGTGGTCGTCGCAGCCGCCATGGTCGTCCTTTTGGTCGCCGTGGCCCCTCGCTCTCCCACCTCGCAGTGACCGTGATCGAGGCATTCGCCCTCCTCTTCGTCCTGCCCCCCCTCCCCCCGCCTGCCCGCCGCGGTCGTCGCCGTCGCGCTACTCCGCTTCGTCATCAAACCCCTCCTCCTCCCTCGTCCCCAACACGAACGCTGCTGGTCCTCCTCCTCCTCCAATTCCTCCTCCTCCTCCTTCGAATCCTCATCATGTCTCCTCATCCTCCTCCTCATCGTCCTTCTTCTTGTCCTCATCGCTACCCTCGTGCACCACCCCTCTCCTCCTCCTCCTCCTCCTCCTCCTCCTCCTCCTCCTCCTCCTCCTCCTCCTCCTCCTCCTCCTCCTCGTGTATCGTTCCTCCCTCCTCATGCCATTTGTTACGCATCCGCCCAAATCATTACGATACTGATGCTGCTGGGGGGCAAGAGGGCTGGACTTCCTTGGGATCTGACATTGCGAAAAGTTGCAGCATCGCGAAGGATCACGACCGGAGCACCAGACCCTATCTCTCTGCGGAACGCTTCGAGCCGCATCAACCTGTGTGATGGCCTCTGGGCCAGAAATTGAGCGAAGACGCCAGGTGTGAAAACATTATCGACCCACGAACCCAGAAAGGGATTTAGAACTGCGACGCATGGAAACGTTTCGAAGGACCTCGGTTGGGTGATAGGCATTGGCAGTGTTGAAGATCACGTGGCTCCCCCGAATTCTGACCCCCGCTCGAGACATCCCCCAACTCTGCAAAACCAGCGTTTCGCCTGAGACATCCTCGACAAACTTGAATAAAACAGGCGTTTCCCCTGAGATATCCTCGAGATTTTAATTCGCCAGCCCTACGCCATCTCGTTACTCATCGCAAACCAATTCGCCGGCCCTACGCAAGTCGAGGCCGAAGGTAAACCTCTAAAAGAGAAGCCTGGGCCCGAGCCCCGTTCCGGGAAAAACGGCTCAGCATCGCAAAGCTAACCTGGAAGAAGCGGACGGGATCTCTGGAGCCGCGGATTGAAACATGATCGACCCACGAACCCAGAAAGGGAGTTAGAACTGCGAGGAATGGAAACGTGTCCAAGCACCTCAATTAGCCGATGGGCAGTGGCAATGCTGAAGATATCAATGGTGATGACGCTGTGCCAGGGGCTGTGGTGTACAGCTCTGCGCTGTGCCGCGCCGCACAGTGGCGCGCCGGGGGACGCGCCACGTAACGTGCCAGTGGACGTGCCAGGGGACGTGCCAAGGGACAGGGGGACGCGCCACGGAACGTGCCAGCGGACGTGCCAGCGGACGTGCCAGGGGACGTGCCAGGGGACGCGTCGCGCAACGTGCCCAGGGAAGGCGCTAGGGAACGTGCCAGGTATCAAGGGTGATGCTGCTATGCCAGGGGCTGTGTTGTGCTTCTCTGCGCTGTGCCGCGCCGCGCAGTGACATGCCAGGGGACGCGCCACGTCACGTGCCAGTGGACGTGCCAGGGGACGTGCCAGGGGACTCGCCGCGCGATGAGCCAGGGGGAAGCGGCACGGGACGTGCCAGGGGAACGCGCCACGGAACGTGCCAGCGGACGTGCCAGGGGACGTGCCAGGGAGCGCTGCGTCCGCGCTCCCAAGACAACGATCCATCGTAAATCACGCGGCGTCCGCGCTCTCAGCGCCGAGATCCCTCGTAAATCACGCGGGGGTCACGCTCTCAAGGCCACGGTCCCTCGAAAATAAGCTTGAAAAAACGTAGGTCCTTCCGCCCCTGAGCGGAACAAGCGTGAAAACACATGGGTCTCTTTCGCCCCTGAGCGGAACAAGCGTGAAAACACGTGGGTGCCTTTCGCGCAAGAGCGGAACAAGCGTGAAAACACATGGTTCCACCAGCGCGGGACCACCATGTTAGGTCCCCCCCCCGGGTGGCCCGGACACATGAAGACACATGGTTCCAGCTCGGGGCCACAAAGTTAGACACTCCTCTGCGTGGCCTGGACACGCGAAAGCACGTGGTTCCATCGAGGGACAACCATGTTCGACACCCCCCTGGGCGACCTGGGCATGTGAAAACAAGCATTTCGCCTGAGACATCCTTCGAATTCTGGCACCCCACGAGGCCCCCGCTCGAGACATTCCCCGACTCTGCAAAATCAGCGTTTCGCCTGAGACATCCTCAACACATGCATAAAAAAAGCGTTTCACTAGGGACATCATCAAAATTCAATTCCGCCAGCCCTGCGCGACCTCGTTATTTACCGCAGAATAAACACGCCAGCCCTACGCAAGTCGAAGCAAGTTGAGGCCGCGGGGGAAAACCCCTGAAAGAGATCCCTGGGCCCACGCCCTTTCCGGGAAAATCACATCGGCGGATGCCATGGAGCGCTCCCCCCTCCTTTTCAGCTGTTAGCACTGCTGCAAGAAGCGAAAAGGACGCGGACTCCCTGCAAAGTCTCATCTAGGGCAATGGCCTCGGCTCCGAAAACCAAACATGGCGTGTCTGTAAAAGTCCCTGCTGCCGCCCATCCTGCCCCCCCTCTTGTCCCCTCCTCTCTCCTCCTCCTCCTCCTCCTCCTCCTCCTCCTCCTCCTCCTCCTCCTCCTCCTCCTCCTCCTCCTCCTCCTCCTCCTTCGGTAAAACCCTGGGGTCGATGGCCTGACCCCTTGCCTTCATGGCTAACGGGTTCCATATGGCTCCCGAGCCAACAACGCCGTCTCGACCACCTCTCTCCAAGCTCACTGCCCTCCCCCGCTCCCGTTTGGGGAACGTCGCGCTGGCGCCGTCACGGTACCCGTCGGCTTTCAGCAAGAGGTTCACCTCCTCCTCTGGGGTCAACACCAGGTCGCTGTTCTTCCCGTCGCCGTCCTGTGTACTGGGGAGATGCGCACGCGCTAGCAGAGAGTGAGCATGTGGCGCGCTCCAAAAAGCCGAGTCCAGAACGCAGCAGAAACCATGGAGGTACCTGCATCACGCCCAATGGCAACGAACATGTGGTCGATGCCCCCTCCTCCTCCTCCTCCGCCTCCTCCTCCTCCTCCTCCTCCTGCTCCTCCTCCGCCTGCTCCTCCTCCTCCCTCCCTCCCTCCCTCCCTCCCTCCTCCTCCTCCTCCTCCTCCCCTCCTCCTCCCCTCCTCCTCTTCCTCCTCCTCCTCCTCCTCCTCCTCTCCTCCTCCTCCTCATCGTCATCCTCCTCTCCTCCTCCTCCTCCTCAGCAGCAGCAGCAGCAGCAGCAGCATCATCATCATCATCAGCAGCAGCAGCAGCGCAGCAGCATCATCATCATCATCATCATCATCATCATCATCATCATCATCATCATCATCATCACCATCACCACCACCATCAGCATCATCATCAGCATCATCATCATCATCATCATCATCAGCATCATCATCATCATCATCATCATCATCATCATCATCATCATCATCATCATCATCATCATCATCATCATCATCATCATCATCATCATCATCATCATCATCATCATCATCATCCTTCTCTTATTATCTTCCCTTTCTGGGGTCACAAAACGCTGCCGATGCATCCAGGCCTGAACGGGGGAACCCCGACTGCTCGTCGGCTTTGGGCGAGATCACAACACAGCATCGAAGCGCTACTGCTGACGTGAAAGTCGCTCATCTTGCGCCTCCATCTCCTCTCTTCTTGCCCCTGCCGCTGCTCGTCCGAACCCACGTGATCTTTCCCTTCACCTGTCACGTCATCCTCCCTCTGCGTTCAACCGGAAAACTCCGCACTCCTCCCTCTTGAGCCCCCCTCCGTCCGATTCTCGTTCCCTTCCTCTCTCCTCCCTCCTATCTCCTTCCACCCCTTCCTTCAGTATACCTTCTTCCCCTCCACCTCCCTGTTCTTTGGTCCCTCCACCTCCACCTCCACATCCATCTCACATTTACTCTTCCTCCTCCTCCTCCTCCTCCTCCTCCTCCTCCTCTTCCTCTTTCTCTTCCCCTTCCTCTTCCTCTTCCTCTTCGGTGGCCGGACAAAAAGTGTCCAGACCCATGGCGGTAAGGCGATGCAACATGATGACAACCACAACTGGGAAATGCCCTTGCTTCGCACCCCCTCCCCCCCGAAATCAAAGTTGAAGTGTCCACATGTTGTCCCTGGCCTGCGGCCTACCGGCCACACCCGTCAAATCTGAACTTGGTTGAAGGGAGTATACATTCTGGTCCGACGTGCTTTCATACTTCAAGGTCTTGGCGAGACACGTGCGGACACTTTTAGTCCACCCACTGTTCCTCTTCCTCTACCTCCTCCTCCTCCTCCTCCTCCTCCTCCCCTCCTCCTCCTCCTCCTCCTCCTCCTCCTCCTCCTCTCCTCCTCCTCCTCCTCCTCCTCCTATCTCTCCTCCTCCTCCTCCACCCCTCCTCCTCCTCCTCCTCCTCCTCCTCCCTCCCTCCTCCTCCTCCTCCTCCTCCTCCTCCTCTCCTCCTCCTCCTCCTCCTCCTCCTCCTCCTCCTCCCTCCTCCTCCTCCTCCTCCTCCTCCTCCTCCTCCTCCTCCTCCTCCTCCTCCTCCTCCTCCTCCTCCTCCTCCTCCTCCTCCTCCTCCTCCTCCTCCTCCTCCTCCTCCTCCTCATCCCCCTCCCATTCCCCCTCCCCCCCTGCCTCCTCCTCCTCCTCCTCCTCCCTCATCCTCATCGTCTTCCCTGGCCCCCTCCATCCTCCCCCCTTCCATTTTTCCTTGCCTCCCCCGTCCTCCGCATCCCCCGCGCAGGTAGGACGGATGGTGTTTGCGAGGGTGGGCGGGATGGAGAGGAAGAGGATGGAGGGAGGGGAGAGGGAGGAGACGGAGGGGGAGGAGGGAGGGAATGAGGGGATGAGGGGATGAGGGAAGGAAGAGGAGGAGGAGGTGAAGGAGGAGGAGGAGGAAAAGGAGGAGCAGCAAGAGTAGACGCGGCAGGCCGCCACACTGCAACGCTACTGTGCAGCGAGCGTTCGCAGCACAAGTAGACCGAACCCTCTGGGAGTGCGCTTTCGCGCGCACGTGGCAACAGCAAGTGACCTCTCTCTGGCGGGGCTGGTCCCACCGAGGGCGGAGCGGCATCCCCGGGACCAGCTTGCCGGACAAGGCAGCGGGACCGCAGCAGAATTCCGGGGTGAACGGGGCTGCCTTTGGGCCGCGCCGGGTGGGTAGTGCTGGCGGCGTCCGAAACAGGCGCCAGCAACGCAGGGGAGGAGGCGGCGACGGTACGCTGGTCAGGCGGACGGCGTCCCGCGCGGCCTGGAGCGAACTGAGGTGGTGTAGGACGGAGGTGGTCGAGCCCCACTGTGAATTGGTGTTCGATAGCGGCCAGCCTCGCCGGTGGCGGCGCACGGCCCAGGGCCGTTGCGGCCACAGCAGTGAGGTGGGTACTCAGGGCACTCCGCCGGCCTCGAAGAACCCAAAGGGTCCAGGGGACGGCGAAAGGGGGACTGGAGCGGTTGTGGGGACGCCGCGGTCGGGCGGCCTGGCCGCAACGATAGACGAACCAGTCACTGAAGCGCGTGTGTGTTCGCCCCCGTCCGCGGCGGCAGTGGTGGCCGGGAGAGGCGTGGCGGAGTTGGAGCGCAGTCTTGCATTCGCGGCCATAACGGGCGTCATGGGGGGGGGAGGGGGGGGACAGGGGGGGGGCATAACCTAGCGCCCACCCCCCCGACTGTGGTGCCGGACACACCGCGGCAGTGCTGGGGACGCACTGAGGGGGGGAGCGTTACGCTATGGAGGGGGGGAGGGGGGGGGGAGAGGAGGGGGCATAACGCGCATTATGGCCAAAAGGGTAAACAGGATCGACCCACCAACCCGGAAAGGAATATAGAAATGTGAGGCATGGCAACGTTTTCAAGACACCTGATTGGGCGACAGGCAATTACAATGCTGGGTGTATCGATTTTGATGTACCTTGCCAAGGGCTGTGCTGTGCTGCGCCGTGCTGAATTGCGATGCGCCATGTCGCGATTATGCTCTATAGCGTTGTGGATCGAGTCCTCCTTTGCATCCGAGCCCTGACCGAACTGATCTGGATCTTAAGCTCGAGCTGCCTGAGCACACAGTAGCTGCCCCGGAGCTACCTAGTTGAAGAGGAAAGGTGCAGGACGTTCAATCGCCTCGACCTCAAAACCCTACTCAGCTTGGGAGAAAACCCCCTAGTGCTGCGGTAAAGTGGCGCTGAGGATCCGCATGTCCTCCTCGCACTCGTCCAAAAGCCCTGGACGACAGGCCTTGAGGGTCACCATGGCGATGCGGAACACACGCCGGCAAGCCCGCCACTGCTCGAACGAGGAGGGGCCTTTAAGCTGACGCGTGACCAAATCACCGCCTTCGAAGACCTGCGCGGTGAAGCGCATGACCTTCTGCTGGCGCCTCCCGACAAGGCCCTACACCGCCATGTTCGCGCAGGGGGCGGCGCCCTCTGCGAGCCGGGCTGCAAGAGCGGATACCTGGTCATCCGTGGTCGTGCTCCCGGGGTGGCCCCCCCTGTGCGCCTCCTCGCACTCGTCCGAGAGGGAGCGCGCAACTCCTGCAGCGGGAGCAGCTCGAGCTCGCCGTCGTGCGCCAGGTCGGCGAAGGCCAGAACAACTTGCGCTGTCGAGATAACCTCCTAAGAGGACGCTGGGGAAGTGGCAGGGCCGCCACCGCCGCCCCCGCCACCGCCACCACCTCCGCCACCTGCGGCCAGTGCACTCATGCCCGCAAACCACCCGCCAAGGGTGTCGACCGAAATCGAGTGGCGGCACACCAGCGACCTCGGTCACACGGCGAAAGGGAAGCGCGCAAGCGCCCCTTGCTGCCAGGCCGTGAGCGGCGCACCAGACACCTCGCTCTGAGTCCATCGCGGACGTCAGATCGGAGGCGCGCACCTCCAGCAAATCGTTGACCGATATCGTGTCGCATGACCCCCCCAAGTGCTCGACGCACGCATCCAACACACTCTCGTCGGCCCCAGAGGTGGATGCCACGGCGGCGACCCTAAGGCTATGGTTCACGCCTTGGGCAGCCCGAGCACGTGCCTTGGAGATCGGCGTGGCGGGGGCCGCAGGCTGCATCCCCGCCGACGGCTCCTGCTCAAACCAAGTCATGTGCCCCCAAACCTGTTTGGAGGAGTCGGCAAGGGATGCAGACGAAACGTGGAATAGCCAAAATAAGTCAAGAAGAGGGTTCAGCATCGAAAGACCGTGAAGGTCAAGTGGCATGGACATTAGAGCCCAAATGGCCACGACAGCAATGCCATCGGCCGGCTCTTGTGTTCCTCACTACGTTGCATGCACTACCCAGCCAGCGGGGTTTCCCCGACTTCGGCCCGTATCGGGGATCTTCTGACCCGGGTCAATCCAGACCCGGGTCAGCAGGAAACCAAAAAAACTGCAATGCAAGCAAAAAAAAAAAAAAAAATGCAACGCAGGTCTTCGCAAACCCGGGTCAGCCAGTAGGCGCGGCCGCCTCGCGGCCACGAGCGGCTCGCTAAACCCGGGTCAGCCAGAGGGGGTCTCCGCAGGATCCTGCAGGATCCGGCGCCCTGGCTGACCCCCGTCTGCATTGACCCCCGTCTCTTGGCTCCCGACCTTGGGGCCATTGTCGGGCCCTGGGGCCATCCGAAACGGATCCGGGACGAAACTCCACCCCCCGGGACACCAGGGCCAAAACGGCCACGACAGCAACGCCGTCGGCCAGCTCCTCTGTTCCCCGCTGCACTGCATGCGCCAACGCAGCTGGCGGGTGTGCCTCGACCTCGGCCCTTTGGGGGCCATGGTCGGGCCCCAGAGCCATCGAAAACGGATCCGGGACGAAACGCGACCCCCAGGAGAGCGGGACTCCTCGCTCCTCCTCGCTCCTTGCTCCTCGCTCCTCATCCTCCTCATCCTCGCTCCTCGCTCCTCCTCCTCCTCCCTCCTCCTCGCTCCTCCTCCTCCTCCTCCTCCTCCTCCTCCTCCTCCTCCTCCTCCTCCTCCTCCTCCTCCTCCTCACCCTCCTCCTCCTCCTCCTCCTCCTCCTCCTCCTCCTCCTGACTGAACGTATCACATCGGCGGATGCCTGGGACCGAATGGATCCAACCAACCGAACGCAACCGACCGCCACGCAGCCGACCCGGCCCGACCGCTCACGCTGGCCTGCTCTTCCCACTCGGTTCGGCGGCGAGCGAGGGGGAAGCAAGAGGGAGAGGGCCTTCTCAGAGGGCGGCGGGGCTTCTCGGAAGGCCTCTGGCCTTCTGCCAGGTTGTCTGTGTCTTCGGGGAGGGCTCGCGGAAAACTTCTCAGAAGGCCGGGGGGACTTCCGAGCCTTCTGAGAAGGCCTTCGCCTTCTCACCTCCCCCCCGGGGGCTCGCCGCCGATCGATGCCCTGGTCGGACACGCCCGGGCAGCTCCTCCTCGGCACTCGGCTGGAACTTGTGCGGGGGGATGTATCCGAGCTTCATGGGGCTGTGGCTCTGCAGCTCTACGCCGCAGCCTGGCAGCACCCCCACGCCCCTCCGCCTGCCCAGATCCCTCGCGCCATGAAGAAACCACGACAAGCAGATTGTTCGTCAAGTCATTGCAGCAGCGTTGTCTCTCTCCTCTCCTCTCCCCTCCCTCCCTCTCCCTTCTTCCCCTTCACGCTGGCAGTGCACCGACATGTTTAGGGCGCATGCGAAGCTCAGAGTAGCTCTGCTGCCGGTGCGCCGTGCAAGCGCCTGGCACACCTGACCTGACCTTCTGCCTCTGGGGCACCCATCGGGCCCCGAGGCTGTCAAAACTATCTCGGATTTAGACACGTGGCCCGGGGAATGGGTCCAGACCTCTGGGGTTCCAACCTGCGGAAAAATCACGATGCTGGGGGTCTGGGCCCTCCAGCCCCTGTTCCTGCTCCGATTCCTCCCCCCCTCTCTCTCTTTTCTGTCCGACCCCCCCCCCGCTCCATTCGTTCGTCTCCTCCGTGCGCATCGTCCGTGCTCCTCCTTCTGCTCCTCGTCCTCGCTTCATCCCTTCCCTCCGCTTCCCAACGACGGTCTTGCACTCCACCTCGTCGTCCTCGTCGTCATCGTCGTCCTCGATCGTGTCGTGCTCATCATCCTCAATCGTGTCATCCCCATCCTCTGTCTTGTCGTGTTCGTCGTCCTTTACCCTGTCGTCCTCGATCTTGTCGTCCTCGACCTCAATCTTGTTGCGTTCAACGTGCTCGATCGTGTCGTCTTCGTCCTCGATCTTGTCGTGTTCCTCATCCTCGATCGTGTCGTCCTCGTCCTCAATCTCGTCGAGTTCATCGCTGACGTTTTGCTTCTCCTCCCTGGCGGGCTCCCCTCGCCATGCCTGTTCCGTCCTCTTCAACCTACTCCTCCTCCTCCTCCTCCGCCCTCCTCCTCCTCCCTCCTCCCTTCCTCCTCCTCCTCCTCCTCCCTCCCTCCCTCCTCCCTCCCTCCCTCCCTCCCTCCCTCCCTCCCTCCCTCCTCCCTCCCCCTCCTCCTCCTTCCCTTCCTCCCTCCCTCCCCCCTCCCTCCCTCCCTCCCTCCCTCCTCCCTCCCTCCCTCCCTCCCTCCCTCCCTCCCTCCCTCCCTCCCTCCCTCCTCCCTCCCTCCCTCCCTCCCTCCCTCCCTCCCCCTCCCTCCCTCCCTCCCTCCCTCCTCCCTCCTCCCTCCCTCCTCCCTCCCTCCCTCCCTCCTCCCCTTCCTCCTCCCTCCTCCTCCTCCTCCTCCTCCTCCTCCTCCTCCTCCTCCTCCTCCTCCTCCTCCTCCTCCTCCTCCTCCTCCCTCCTCCTCCTCCTCCTCCTCCTCCTCCTCCTCCTCCTCCTCCTCCTCCTCCTCCTCCTCCTCCTCCTCCTCCTCCTCCTCCTCCTCCTCCTCCTCCTCCTCCTCCTCCTCCTCCCTCCTCCTCCTCCTCCTCCTCCTCCTCCTCCTCCTCCTCCTCCTCCTCCTCCCTCCTCCTCCTCCTCCTCCTCCTCCTCCTCCCTCCTCCTCCTCCTCCCCTCCTCCTCCTCCCTCCTCCTCCTCCCTCCTCCCTCCTCCCTCCTCCCTCCTCCCTCCTCCCTCCTCCCTCCTCCCTCCTCCCTCCTCCCTCCTCCCTCCTCCCGCCTCCCGCCTCCCGCCTCCCGCCTCCCGCCTCCATCCTCCTCCGCCTCCTCCCTCCTCCCTCCTCTCTCCTCCCCTCCCTCCTCCCTCCTCCCTCCTCTCTCCTCTCTCCTCCTCCCTCCTCCTCTCCTCCTCCCATCCTCCATCCTCCATCTCCTCCCCATCCATCCTCACCCATCCTCCTCATCCTCCTCCTCCTCCTCCTCCTCCTCCTCCTCCTCCTCCTCCTCCTCCTCCTCCTCCTCCTCCTCCTCCTCCTCCTCGCAATTTCATCCCCATCATCCTTCATCCCTCCCCATCCCTCATCCCCTCAGCATGATCTCTCCTACAGCATTCGCCATCCTTTCTCCGAAGCATCCGTGCTTCTCCTCACCGTAAGCCGTATCGCCTCCATTAGAACCGCCGCTGCCAGTGTGACATCAGTACCATAATCACCAGATCAGTGTCATTACCAACATTATCATTGTGCTGTTCAACACGCCCCTCAAGCTATCACCAACAACCAGAGGGCCAAGCTATAGACTGGAGCCTCGGCCAGACTGTACTGGTGCGATCACGATGACGTCTGAAGGCTGCGCGTGCTGGCCGTGCACTCATGCACACGCTGGGCACGCCAGGAGAGGGAGAGGAGGGAGGGGACGGAGACAAGCTCCCTGCGCTCGCGCCATTATCTGACATCTTTTCCTTCCCTCCCATTCCGTCCCATTGCACAATATTTTCGCTATCCGCGGATGCGTGTCATAGCCGGCCTGGAATTTCAAAGAAAAGCTAATCATGGAATGAGCAATCGGAAAAGGAAAACTGCGAGGAGGAGAGGAGCAACAAGAGGAGGAAGGGGGCAGGCCCTTTCAGCGAGACGAGCAGATTACCTCTCGGGAGGAGCTAAGCAGAACGGAGCTACCCGTGACAATTGCTGCTGGGGCGTGGGTGCGACAGGAGCTGCTTGCATTCAACAAAAACGCTCATGCCTCCACACACCCTGGAGAGGGATGAGGAGGAGGAGGAGGAGGCGGAGGAGGCGGAGGAGGAGGAGGCGGAGGACGAAGAGGGGGATGGGGATGATGAGGAGGAGGACGATAAGGATGAAGATGAGGTGGATGAGGAGGAAGACGAGAAGAACTCCGATCCTAAAAAACATGAATCCCGAAGCGCGTTGCGCATTTTACTGCTAGATTAGATGTTCTGTGTCTGGGTGGCACTATGTGCGAAATACTTGTTGGCGCCTCCTCTCCAGTGTCTGTCATTGCGGAACTTCCGAATCGCGCTGGCCCAGACCGCGTTGCGCCTTGCTTCGACGCTGAATGGGGCGACGCTGGCAGGGCGAGAAGGGAGCGACATTGCAGAGGAGCGTCAACAACTTCTGAGGTTCATCTTGCGGAGGGTTGGCCGCGAAGACTGAATGCGCGGGCGAGCCGACCTGCAAGGACTGTTTAGCAGCCTCGGCCCAAGCGCATCTCGAATTTAAGTTCACAGAAACTACGGCTCACAGGAGCGTTCCGTCAGAGTGGGGCGGCCGAACGGTCATTCACTGTCCCTGGGCGTGCGGCTGAAGTGAGGTTCTGCAGTGCGGATTGTTGTTGTTGTTGGTTATGGTTGTTGTTTGTGGTTTATTGTTTGTTGTCGTCCCCCACGCGACCTGGCCCGCGACCCACCCGCGACCCACTTGCGACCCACCCCGCGACCCATCCGCGACCCACCCGCGACACACCCACGACCCGCTAGCGACACACCCGCGATCCACCTGCGACCCGGCCCGCGACCTACCCGCGACCCACCCGCGATTCACCCGCGACCCACCCCGCGGCCCACCTACATTGCTTTAACGAAGACATCGGCGCCTGCGGCGGGCTCGTTGTACAAATTGTAAAAATTATGCGCCTGCGGCGGGATTCTTCAGAGCCTCGCAGACTGCCGACGTCCCCGCCGCCCCCTCAATCTTCTCCGCAACTGCGGGGTGCTACGGCTATGTACGAATTTCTCTCACTCCAGATTGACCCGTAGTTGTTAAAGCAATGGCTGGCTCTGAGATAAAACTGTCCTGCATCGAAGGGGACCACCACTATTTGAACAACTACGGGTGGATCATGCGCATGAAAGAACACAGTCGGACGCTCCTGGTGGCCGCAGTTGCTGTGAATTTGCAGAATTCAGAATTTGTGAATTTGATGAATTTGCTGCGAGGGCTCCTAGATGCCCAAGATGGCCTCCAGACGACTCAAGAGGCCTCCAATACCTTCAGTAAGAGTCCCGAAGGCCTGTTCCCAAGGGGGTTCCGAGAAGCAAAGTTCATTGATCTCACTTAGGTTTTTGACGGATTTTAGCGTTTCTGTTTTGTCGGCTTCCCGACGCCCGAAAAAAAAACCAAGAAGCCCCAAAGATCGCCCCAAGACGGCCCCCAAATGCCCCCCAGATAGGGCCCAGAGGGAGAGCCCGAACGGACCTTTCGAGCCGTCGGCCTCAAGATAGCCCCGAAAGCCCCCCAAAAGTTCCTAAGGCGTGCCCACGAAGCCTCAGCAGGAGCCCAGGAGACCCCCAGGAGCGAGCGAGCGAGCGAGCGAGCGAACGCGCGATGTCGGTCCAGCGGGACCGACCCTATGAGGGCAGCGCGGGGGGGCCGGGGCCCCAAGAGGCCGCCAAGAGGCCCTCAAGGAGCTCCCAAGAGCCCTCGAAGACCCACAAAAGACGTATCCTGACCGATTCTGGTATCCATGCAAGAGGCCTCTGCCCCGCAGCCCGGGCATTTCCAGGAGAGCTGCCAGACGCCCCCAAGAGCCTCCCCTGAGATCCGACGACATGAGCCAAATTGTATTCGACTGGTGTCACTTGGGTCATATCGGATACGAATGCCAGTGCCACTACATCCCCAGGCCGAAAGTTTTTTCCTCTTGGACTAAAATATGAGAACATCCATGGATCCAATTGGATCCCTGTTCGGGTGGGATTTCGAACTGCGTCTCCCCCTACGTAAGGGTGCTAAATCCTTCATGGGATTTCGAACTGCGTCTCCCCCCTACGTAAGGGGTGCTAAACCCTTCATCCCCAAGCCGAAAGTTTGCTCCTCTTGGACTATAATATGAGAACACCCATGGATCCAATTGGATCCCTTTTCGGGTGGGATTTCGAACTGCGTCCCCCCCTACGTAAAGGGTGCTAAAAGCTTCAAATGCGTTTTCCCCTACGTACGGGGTGCTAAACCCTTCATCCCCAGGCCGAAAGTTTTTTCCTCTTGGACTAAAATATGAGAACATCCATGGATCCAATTGGATCCCCTTTCGGGTGGGATTTCGAACTGCGTCTCCCCCTACGTAAGGGGTGCTGAATCCTTCATCCCCAGGCCGAGAAATTTTCCCTTTGGACTAAAATATGAGAACATCCATGGATCCAATTGGATCCCTTTTCGGGTGTGGGAGACTTTCGTGGATCCTATTTCTGTGTTGCGCGGATCCAATTTCCTGTGTGAGAAAATGGATCCATTTATTTCCCCGGAATACACATATAATAATTATTAACAGCCGGGACCCTGGGGAAATGGGATCCGCAGAGCACCGCAAGTGAAGCATCATGCTATCCACGGAGCTGTAGATATGCAGACCAATGCTATGACTCTACGGGGAAAGGGGGGTCTCCCCAGGATCAAGAGGGGAAGGATGAGGGAAGAGGCAAGAGGAGGTAGGAGGAGAACAGAGGGCCAACTCCCGCATCCCCAACCATAACATATCTACCCCACCTCGAAGAAAGCGCTACATGTATCCGCTCACATGAACGGCGCGTCGCTTCCGACATGTGGGGCTCAAGAGGAAAATCTCTCGGCCTGCGGAAGTATCGCTCCTGCTTTGACGTCTATGTGGAGTATGACACCAGCCTGATTTCCGTTCTACAGACGCTATGGCTCAAGTGGTACTCTAGAGGTACTTCTTGAGTCATATGTGCTTCATCCGCCGCGGCCACTAGTGCTTGATCCAATACATCATTCACCATCCTTTCTCCAATATGCCCGTGCTTCCCCTCACCATAATCCTTATTGTCGTCTTACAGTCGCCGCTGCCACGATGAAATACGAGGACCACCACCATCATATCATCACCTTTGCCAGCACAACGACTTCTCGCTCAACACACACACACACACCTCGAGCTATCACCAGAAGCGAAGCGGCCAAACTATAGCCCAGAGCCTCGGCCAGATTGCACAGACGCGATCGCGATGACGTCAGAAGGGAGCGCGTGCCGGCCGTGCACTCACGCACACGACGGGCACGCAAGGCGAGGGAAAGAAGGGATAGAAGGGAGGAAACGGAGAGGAGGAGAGGAGCAGAAAGAGGAGGAAGGGGGCAAGTCCTGTCAACAAAATGTTGACTGGGTTGGCCGCCTGGAGAAGCCAAGCAGAACGAAGCTGACCGCGACAATTGTTGCCCAGGCGGGTGTGCGACAGGGGCTATTTGGACTCAACGAAACGCCCATGCCGCCACACACCCTAGAGACGAGGACGAGGACGGGGACGAGAAGGAGGAAGGCAGACTCAGATCACGACGAGGAAAGAACGAGGAGGGGACGGCAGACTCTGTCATCATCACCATCATCATCATCATCATCCTCCTCCTCCTCCTCCTCCTCCTCCTCCTCCTCCTCATCATCATCATCATCATCATCATCATCATCATCATCATCATAATCGTCGTCGTGATCGTCGCGAACGCAGTCATCATACTCGTCATCACCATCAACATCCTGCTCCTTTTCCTCCTCCTCCTCCTCCTCCCTCCTCCTCCCTCCTCCTCCGCCTCATCATGATCATCATCATCATCATCATCATCATCATCATCATCATCATCATCATCATCGTCATCATCATCATCATCATCATCAGCAGCATCAGCATCAGCATCATCATCATCCCCATCATCATCATCATCATCATCATCATCATCATCATCATCATCATCATCATCATCATCATTCCTTCTCCTTATAGATGACTCCTCCCTGTCGCACCCCGAGGCCAGGTTTTAGGGCGGGCCCGGCGTTTCGCCTGAGACTTCCTCACCATGTATGTATCTTAATCTTAAAAAGTGGCAACAGTTTCACAAATGGAGAGCGGGTGGTTTTCAAAATGTGGCTCTCGTCTTAGCGCCGCGCACATTTTCTTTCTAAAAATGTGCAAGGGTTTCACGGATTGAAGGCGGGTCGTTTTCAAAATGTGGCTCTCGCCTTAGCGTCGCACACATTCGTTTCAAAAATGTGCAGGAGCTTCACGGATTGAGGGCGGGTCGTTTTCAAAACGTGGCTCTCGCCTTAGCGCCGCGCACATACGTTTAAACTTGCAAGAGCTTCACGGATTGATGGCGGGTCGTTTTCAAAATGTGGTTTTCGCCTTAGTGCCGCGCACATTCGTTTTAAAAAATGTGCAAGAGCTTCACGAATTGAGGGCGGTCCCTTTTCAAAATGTGGCCCTCGCCTCAGCGCCGCGCACACTCTTTTTAAAATTTGCAAGAGTTTCACGGATTCCCATAATCAACGTACCAGAAATGGTGTTTTGGACGGATTCAGGATTATGCGGGCGCATCAATTATGCTGATCCGCTGTGTTGAAGTCCAAAAATGGCGTTCTGGCACGATTCTGGATCGTCAGGACGCAGCAGCCAAGTTGATGCGTGGCGTTGAAATCCCGAGAACAATGTGCGGGCACGCTTCAGGATCTTCAAACTGGTCTCCCACCGAGGCAACCCCCTAAATGGAAATGAACCGTTGCAGGGGCCTATGAAGAGGGAGATTGGAGGGAGGGTTAATTCCAACATCATTGATGACTCTTGGGTTTCCACTGGTCGTCATCCTCATCCTCATCCGCATCCTCATCATCAGAATCAGCATCATCACCAGCAACATCATAATTAGCATCATCCTCGTCCAGATAACCATCATCATCAGCAGCATCATCATCAGCATCGTCATCATCATCGTCATCATCATCAACAACAGCATTATACTCCTCATCATCAACATCATTGCCAGCGCGATCAGCATCATAATAATCATCAAAATCAGCACCATCAGCATCATCATCGTCGTCATCATCATCATCATCAGCAGCAGCATCATCATTAACTCGTCCTCTTCCACACCGTTCCACCAGCAGCATTGATCCCCCCCTGCATCCTGGACATTGGCTGGCCCCGTACTGCGAAATGAACGACGCCTTGAGGCTGCTCCTTGGCAGGCCACCTTTTGATCCTTCTATTCAGCCCCCTTCTCTCCTTCTGCTCCTCCTTCCCCCTGTTGCTCCCAGCTCCTCTTCCTACAAGGCAGCTGTTTTATACATAGAATGAAAAAGAAATAATAATAATATATATACTAATATATATATACATAATAATAATAATAATAATAATAACAATAATAAGAACAACAATAACAATAATAATAATAATAACTATTTTTTATAGGAAAAAATAAAATAAAATAAAAATAATAATATTTTTTTTTTTTTTTTTTTTTTAAAAAAAAAAAAAAAAAAAAAAAAAAAAAAAAAAAAAAAAAAAAAAAAAAAAAAAACGGGCGAAGGACCCAACCATATGCAGTTGTGAGCACCGTCGTTGTGAGCAAAGCGTTCGGTGGAGCCCCCTGTGGGGCCACGAAACGCTGCCCTGGGTGCGGGAACCGCATGCGAACACCTCCACTGGGGCCTTCGGTGGAGCTCCCTATGGGGCCATGAAACGCTGCCCTGGGTGGGGGAGAGCATGCGGGCACCCCCGCCGGGGCCTTCGGTGGAGCTCCCTATGGGGCCACGAAACGCTGCCCTGGGTGGGGGAACCGCATCCGGGCACCCCCACTGGGGCCTACGGTGCAGCTCCCTATGGGGCCTCGAAGCGCTGCCCTGGGTGGGGGAACCGCATGCGGGCACCCCGACTGGTGCCTACGGTGGAGCTCCCCATGGGGCCACGAAACGCTGCCCTGCGCTGGGGGGAACCGCATGCGAGAGCCGCCACTGGGGCCTTCGGTGGAGCTCCCTATGGGGCCACGAAACGCTGCCCTGGGCGGGGGAACCGCATGCGGGAGCCCCCGTTGGGGCCTTCGGTGGAGCTCCCTATAGGGCCACGAAGCGCTGCCCTGGGCGGGGGAACCGCATGCGAGAGCAGTCATTAGGGCCTTCGGTGAAGCTCCCCATGGGGCCACGAAACGCTGCCCTGGGTGGGGGAACCGCATGCGAGAGCAGCCACTGGGGCCTTCGGTGGAGCACCCCATGGGGCCACGAAGCGCTGCCCTGGGTGGGGGAACCGCATGCGAGCTGCGCCACTGGGGCCTTCGGCGGATGTCCCTATGGGGCCACGAAACGCTGCCCTGGGTGGGGGAACCGCATGCGAGAGCAGCCACTGGTGCCTTCGGTGGAGCACCCTATGGGGCCACGAAACGTTGCCCTGGGTGCGGGAACCGCATGCGAGAGCAGCCACTGGAGCCTTCGGTGGTGCTCTCTATGGGGCCACGAATTGCTGCCCTGGGCGGGGGAACCGCATGCGAGAGCAGCCACTGGTGCCTTCGGTGGAGCTCCCTATGGGGCCACGAAACGCTGCCCTGGGTGGGGAACCGCATGCGCCCCCCCCCCCCCCCGCCACCACACTGGTGCCTTCGGTGGAGCCCCCTATAGGGCCACGAAACGCTGCCCTGGGTGAGGGAACCGCATGCGTGCTGTGCCACTAGGGCCTTCGGTGGAGCACCCTATGGGGCTACGGAACGTGTGAGAGGTGTGCCGAGAGCAAAGGCAATGAGGGGGAGGGAGAGGAGGGAGGAGGGAGGAGGGAGGAGGGAGAAGGGAGGAGGGGGAGGAGGAAGGAAGGAAGGAGGAGACGCGGGGCGCTGCCTATTCAAAACGAGGACCCAACACCACGGGACGGTTGGGAAAATTATCCTGGCGAAGGACCCAACCATGAGCAATTGTTCGTAACGCGTTGTGGGTGCCGTTTTCGGCGGGGCTCCCTATGGGGCCACGAAACGCTGCCTTGGGAGGGGGAACCGCATGCACAACTGCGCCACTGGGGCGGGCCTTCGGTGGAGCTCCCCATGGGGCCACGAAACGCTGCCCTGAGCGGGGGAACCGCATGCGAGAGCAGCCACTGGGGCCTTCGGTGGAGCTCCCTATGGGGCCACGAAACGCTGCCCTGGGTGGGGGAACCGCATGCGAACTGCGCCACGGGGGCCTTCGGTGGAGCTCCCTATCGGGCCACGAAACGCTGCCCTGTGTGGGGGAACCGCATGCGAACTGCGCCACTGGGGCCTTCGGTGGAGCTCCCCATGGGGCCACGAAACGCTGCCCTGGGTGGGGGAACCGCATGCGAACTGTGCCACAGGGGCCTTCGGTGGAACTCCCTATGGGGCCACGAAACGCTGCCCTGGGTACGGGAAACGCAGGCGAACTGCACCACTGAGGCCTCCGGTGGAGCTCCCTATGGGGGCACGAAACGCTGCCCTGGGTGGGGGAGCCGCATGCGAACTGCGCCACTGGGGCCTTCGGTGGAGCTCCCTATGGGGCCACGAAACGCTGCCCTGGGTGAGGGGACCGCATGCGAGAGCAACCACTGGGGCCTTCGGTGGAGCTCCCTATGGGGCCACGAAACGCTGCCCTGGGTGGGGGAACCGCATGCGAGCAGCCACTGGGGCCTTCGGTGGAGCTCCCTATGGGGCCACGAAACGCTGCCCTGGGAGGGGGAACCGCATGCGAGAGCAGCCACAGCTGGGGCCTTCGGTGGAGCTATGGGGCCACGAAACGCTGCCCTGGGTGGGGGAACCGCATGCGAACACCCCCACTGGGGCCTTCGGTGGAGCTCCCTATGGGGCCACGAAACGCTGCCCTGGGTGGGGGAACCGCATGCGAACACCCCCACTGGGGCCTTCGGTGGAGCTCCCTATGGGGCCACGAAACGCTGCCCTGGGTGGGGGAACCGCATGCGAACACCCCCACTGGGGCCTTCGGTGGAGCTCCCTATGGGGCCACGAAACGCTGCCCTGGGTGGGGGAACCGCATGCGAGAGCAGCCACTGGGGCCTTCGGTGGACTCCCTATGGGGCCACGAAACGCTGCCCTGGGCGGGGGAACCGCATGCGAGAGCAGCCACTGGGGCCTTCGGTGGAGCTCCCTATGGGGCCACGAAACGCTGCCCTGGGCGGGGGAACCGCATGCGAGAGCAGCCACTGGTGCCTTCGGTGGAGCTCCCTATGGGGCCACGAAACGTTGCCCTGGGTGCGGGAACCGCATGCGAGAGCAGCCACTGGGGCCTTCGGTGGAGCTCCCCATGGGGCCACGAAACACTGCCCTGGGTGGGGGAACCGCATGCGAGAGCAACCACTGGGGCCTTCGGTGGAGCTCACTATGGGGCTACGAAACGTGTGAGGGGTGTGCCGAGAGCAGAGGCAAGGAGGGGGAGGAGGGAGGAGGGAGGGGGCAGCGGGAGGAGGAGACGCGGGGCACCGTCTCTTCAAAACGAGGACCCAACACCACAGGATGGTTTGGAAATATATACGATTTTTAATACATGATCAATGTATGAATGAATTCATGCATGAACTCATCGTTGTTATTAATACTAAATCCCTGCATTTGTTATACATGATCCGCACGCGGAGCATGTATTAAAAACGGCACTGTACGCTTGTCTGCTCTTCCTCCTTGGTAGGCCGCCGCCTGCTCCTGATCTTCAGCCCCCTCCTCTTCTCCCGGTTCTCGTGCTCCTCCTGTTGCTTCCAGCTCCTCTTCGCACGAGTGTCTGTCCCTCCTCCTCCCTCTTGCAATCGCTCGGACGTCCATTCCCCGTGCATTTGTCGGCTTCGTGCGCTTATCTTTCGCAAGACGATCCGGGATGGTCCTTGGTGCTCCTCCCCGAGGAACGCACACGTCCGAGCGATGCCAAGCCCTTGAACAGAACCCAGCGGTTGCAAATCATGGGGGCGGCTCCTTCTCAAACCGGGGCTCTCGCCTGCGTCCTCCTCGACACCTGTGACCGGCATGCTATACGAACGTGGCATTTGCACCGATGGGGGGCGCCATCTTCCAAAATGGAGAATTTGTTATTTCACCCCTCCTCCTCCTCCTCCTCCTCCTCCTCCTCCTCCTCCTTTTCCTCGATACTCCTCCTCGGTCCTCCTCCTCGATCCCCCTCCTCGATCCTCCTCCTCGATCCTCCTCGATCCTCCTCCTCGGGGGGGAGGGAGGGTCGGGCCCCCAGTGGGGGGGTAACGGTAACGTGGGCGGGCCCCGCAAAGGGGCGCGGGGCCTGGGCGCCAGACGACGACGACGACGACGACGACGAGGAGGACGAGGACGAGTACGAGGACGAAGACGAGGATAAGGACGAGGACGAGGACAACGACGACAACGACGACTAGAACGACGACGACGACGACACCGACAACGACGGTGATGATGGCGACAACGACGACGACGACGACGACGACGACGACGACGACGACGACGACGACAACAACGACCACGACCACGATTACGATGACGGCCGCCACTGATGGTCTCCGGAAGTACCAGTTGGCCTAAGAATGTCTTTGGAGGCCTCTGGAGGCGTCTGGAGGCTCTACGAGGCCCTCGGAAACGACGACGACAACGAGGACGAGAACGAGGAGCGGGACGACGACGAGAAGGGCGACAACCACGAAAATGCCAACGACGACGACGACGACGACGACGACGACGTTGATAACGAGGACGACGAGGACGAGGACGAGGACGAGGGCGACGACGCCGAGGGCGACGACAACGACGACGACGACGACGACGACGACGACGACGCCATCGACGACGACGACGACGACGACGACGACGACGACGACGTTGATAACGACGACGACGAAGACGAGGACGACGACGAGGACGACGACGAAAAGGACGAGGACGAGGACGGGCGCCTTTGAAGATCTCCAGAGGTCTCCAGAGACTTCGGGAGGTCTCTGCAGGCCTCTGGAGGCGCCTCGAGGCCCTACGGGGCCCGCGGAGACGACGACGACGACGACGACGACAACGACGACAAAAACGACGACGACGACGACGACGACGATCACCACGACCACGATGACGACGACGACGACAACGACAACGACGACAAAAACGGCGACGACGACACGACGACGACGACGACGACGACGACGACGACGACGACGACGACGACGACGACGACGACGACGACGACGACGACGACCCACCACTGCAGGTC